CTGCGCGGACCCGGGCGGTGTGTGCCCGCCGCTGGTCCCTCCAGGCTCCCCTTCCTGTCCCGACTCAACCTGACTTGAAAAGTTGGCTGAGTTTGGCGGTGAAGTACCTCTTTGTCTGGGGCGCGACTTGCAGGTCCAAGTCATCCCTTCATTCTGTAAAGGGTCCGGAGCTCCAGACGCTTACGGAGCCGTGGTCCAAGGGACGAAAACATGGTCTTCGCGCGCGTCCTTGGAGGCGCTCCCACGTGGTGGGTCCCGCGCCCCGGCTTTGGCGCTCGGCTTGGTGTTTAAGGAGGACTTGGAAGAGCTCTCGGTTTCCTCGGCCCGCCTCTGCTGCAGACAGGAGTTCGCCTTCAATGGCGAACATTCCCTGCGCCCTTTTTCTTTCCTCCCAGCACCTGGGGGACCTCAATAGGGCCTGGACTGTGGGGCTTAAAGTGCCTTCCGGAAGTCCTAGCGGAATTAACAGTCTCTCCTGGGGTAGCATTGTTGTAGGCAGCTGAGTTAAGGTAGAAATATTATAGGTAGTCAGACAGGCCCTGGAAGGAGCCAGTATGGAAGACAAGATGCCTTGCAGCTTCGGGAGAGACAGGCCCTTCCGCCGTGGGCCGGACCTCAAGACAGAAGGTGAAATAAATGTGCCCACATGTCCCCCTAGGGATGGACATCAGGGATTAATAGTCTAAATAGGTATCAGTCACCTTGAAAAAGCCAGGAAGAGTCACTAAACTCAACCCCTTACAGGAGAAGCACCTGTTCTGCATTCGTGTCTCCTTGCTGCGTGAGTCAATTCCCCATTTGATCCCGATTTAATCAATTTTACCCGAGCCATTATGCTTGTAATCTTATTGGTTGACCATAGGTTTTTTTTTTTTGTCTTTTTGAGACAGGGTCTCACTATGCAGTTGAGGCTAGCCTTGAGCTCAATTTGTAGCCCAGGCTGGTGTCAAACTCATAACGATCCTCCTGCGTCAGCCTCCCGAGTGCTGGGATTACAGGCTTGCGCCGCCACTCCCGGCTTGGTTGACCATAGTTTTGACCCACCTGATGCACACCTTGCGATTTCCCATTTTTTCCCCCACGTTGGACGCACCGCATCTCGTTTTGCTGTATAAAATCCCTAGGAAAGGCAGGGTCCTTGGCAGCCCACTCGGATCCCCTTCTGCCTCTCGCTTTCTCGGACAGAAGCTTTCTTTCCCTCAATAAATATATTCTGCTCTTAACGTCCATTGTTCCTAAAATTCATTCTTCGATTTTAGAGAACACACACTCGTCCCAGATTTCTTCAGGTTGGGAGTTTCTTTCCCCCATATCAGCATCCCTTGCCATAGACTCAGCCTTTTAGTTCCTGACTTCATAAAATGTTTATGATATTTCAAGTGAAGTAATAGGAACACATGGGGACCTTTTCAAAGCTTGAAGTGTTTTACTCGTTTTGATTCCTTCTCCCCGCCCCCAGCTTTACTGCGGTGTATGATTGATGATTCATTCTTTTAAAATAGAACAATAAAAATATCAAGCAGCCTGCTGCGGTACCCGCCCTCTGTCTCCATCTCTCTGCCTTCCAGTGGTGATGAGCCTCTCGAGAATGGTGTGGCTAGGCATGGTGGTACACACCTGTAATCCCAGCACTCGGGAGGCTGAGGTAGGAGGATCATTGTGAGTTCGAGACCAGCCTGGGCTACAAACTGAGCTCAAGCCCGACCTGAACTGCATAGCGAGACCCTGGCTCAAAAAGACAAAAAAAAAGAATGGTGTGTATCATTCCTAGGCAAGCCCTTATATGCATATCTGGATGCAACGTCGTTTCTTTTGCACATTTAAACATACAATTAAATGGAATTATACCATACCTCTCATTTTGCACCTTTCTCCTCTTTCAAAATTATACTTTTGGTTAAATCTCTAATTAAATTTTCACTGTTTATTGTATGACTGACCCATAATTTACCCACTCTCCTACTGAGGGAGTTAGTGGTTTTCTACTTGAATGGTCTTGTAGAGCAGAAATACACGTTATGTGCAAGAGATTCAACTAGCAGATCAGAAGTGGATTTGCTGGGCAGTTGTCGACTTTATTAGCCATTGCTAATTTGTTCTCTGAAATGATGGCAACAGCATACCCATTTACACTTCCCATTGACTGGACATGTACTTTGGGGGCTACAGTGGACTGCTCTCAGTCATTCCTGAGAAATCTGAACTGAGAGAACCTAGCCAAGGCAGCTGGAGATGGATGTGGGAGGCCAAGAATGATGGTTGCATGGAGTCAAGCGCATGCGCAGAAGTTGTCAGCACAAAGGATGTGCAAGTATTTCCCACGGAGCATGTGTGGACAACCATGAGCTAGCTAGCCTGAGATCATCTTAGATCCTGTACAAGAGGCCTGGGTGCAAGAGCAAATAGACTTCAGCCCAGAAAAGCCAAAGGCGTTGCCAGATTCACAGAGGCTGAAGAACTACATTCCTCTTGCCAAAGGACCCGCAGGCCAGAGATTCCCTGGTGATGAGTTTGACAGGGGAACTTACAGGAATGCCCACAAGAAGCAGCTTTAAGCCTCTGCCAAGGTGACAGAGGCCTGATCTTCTACAGCAGGACTAACAACAGTTAAGATACCTGTGCTCCTTTGTTGCAGTGAGCAACCATGGTGGCATAGTGAAGAATGAAGGATTACTTGGAAACAAGACTTAGTTCAGTCACCCAGAGGCCCCGAGCACCTATCTCCACTGAGAGGACCAAAGTAGAAGCAAAGCTGAGAACTCTGGCTTTTACTTAAAATATCACTGTAGGAGAGAAAAAGCAAAAGAAAAGCAATTTGTGCAAGGAACTGTCGGGAGGATAGGTAGTTTTCTTGGGGGAAGGGGAAGGACACCAGCCAGACACACATGCTTCGCTAACCTTCTTAAACCATGAACTCCTCAGAGAGCCTGTGTGCTTTTTTACCCTGCGGTTTAACAATTTACTCCTCAACCAAGTCCCCCACAGTCTTTTAATCTGCGTGCTGTTACAGCCTAGGAAAGGTCGGCTGAGGGCAGGCGCTGGGTGGAAGAAAGCTTCACTGGAGAAAGAAGTCCACTGCTTCCCCTTCCTCAGAAGCCAGCATCCCACTGGTGGTAGCCAAGGCTGAATAATGGGAGATGCCTCAACTGTAAATCAAGTTTGGAATTCTGGATGGATATATTGATTACTGAAATGATACTATTTTACAGCCTAAAGAGGCTGCACAGCAGTACTTTTTAAAACCTAAGAGTATCTAAATTTACATTTAAGCATAGGACAAGAATTAGGTCCATTGAATACATGTAAACTGAGAGAAAAAGATGCTTCATAATTGTATCTCAAACTCGTGCTTGTTTTAATATAACAAACAAACATTCCTCCAGGGTGGATTTATCCTTTCTTCTAGAAATCTCTTGGAAGTTTTAATAACTGCCATCTGTTTTAAAATTTCAGCTAAGCTATGTATCATTTAAAGATGAAACACACACACACACACACACACACACACACACACAGAGTCTTACAATGCTTCCAAAATCAAATAAAGTTTATTTGGACATTTGATGGTCTTCTGAGCAGGTACTGAGGTGGCTGTATTACTTCCTGTAGTTTCCTGTAGTTAGCCTGGGACATGCTAAGCACTGGGGTACCCACCCCCAGCCCCAATATTTCACATTTACTGTAAATGTTCTATGTAGTAGAACAGAGAGTATCATTAAATAAGTTATTATTTAATATCATTGAGGAGTGTTTAGCCTATTTAACATTAGTTCTGCAGCAGCAGGCCATCATGACTACATGTTTTTTCTTACATTATAATTCCAAATAGAAACTGAGTATCACAGTTCCTTCAAAAATAGCTCCCATCAAACACATCCGGCATAAAAAATCTCAGAAGTGGAAAAGTCAACCAGAAAAGAATGTAACTCACTTTAGAGCCATCATTTTTTATTAAAATTATTTTTCCATGTTGTGTACAAATTGAATTTTTTTAATTAAATCTAACTATGCTTTTAGAATGATTGTAGGGTTGAAAAGGCACAGTGTATATGTAAGTTACTACTACAAGTCAACAAAATCAAAAAGATTTAAAAATTTTTCACACAAAATGTTTTAAGTCAAGCAAAATTCAGAGCATTATACTATTACCAAAATTATCTCATTTGAAGCTTATTTTTTCCCCATTCACTTTTAAACTACATTAAGACATTAACCATAATATTCTGGAATGTTCAGGATTTATGTTTGATAACCACACAATATATCTGCTTAACCAAACTTAAAATTTAGTCTGTTTAGATGAATTGATTGTGGTATGATAAGATAAAGGCAAGTCTTCCACACCAAACTTAGTAAAGATCACCTGATACTCTTGACAAACCAAAACAAGATTTGTAGACGTTTTCCATCTATGATGATGTACAAATAGAAAATGGAATGGCTATTTCTTTCTTTCTTTCTTTTTTTTTTTTTTGTACCGGGAATCGAACTCAGGACCTTGCACTTGCCAGGCAGGTACTGTGCCACTGAGCTATACCCCTGGCCTGGAATGGCTATTCTTACTAACTGAATGTGCACAATTTCAACTGAAGAAATTATAAAAAATAAAAAATAAAAAAAAAGAAATTATTAGCCACTGTAAAAGTAGGCTTAGGGAGGAAAATTATTTTATAACAGTGTTCTAATCTTCCATCTAAAAAATGTATTTTATGAAAAAGAAATTATAAAATAATACATTCAATTTCTGTGACACAAATGGGGAGATAATCTGTTAAAAACAAGAAGTACATTTTAGGGGCTGGGGATTTAGCTCAGTGGCAAAGTGCCTGCCTGGCAAGCGCAAGGTCGTGAGTTCAGTTCCCGGTACCGGAGAAAACCAAAAAAAAAAAAAAAAAGAAGTACATTTTAATTTCTAATTTTAAATCTCCATTTAGGTTTTGTAAGCTTTGAAATGCAAGTACAGCTTTAAGGCATCAGAATGACTAATTACAGATGATAATAATATAGTCTAATCCTACGAAGCAACTGTGGGTGTTTTAATTGGAAATAAGCATTCAGAGATAATGCTAATAGCAGTGTAGAAAAATGAAGTTTAAAAACAAATTCATTGTTGAGGATCTTCCTATCCTTCTGGGATTTTACTTTAATCATCTCCTCCACTGAGAATGAGTAGTACCTTCCTGTAGTCTCCAGATGTGTCACCCTGGGGGCAAGGGAAGCAGAGTTACAGTCACATAAGTGAGTTTTTAAATGGAATACACAGTTCAAAGTCATCTAGTTTAACTTTTTCAAGTTGGCTGAATATTTCTCAGCTCTTTTTTTTTTTTTTTTGTCTTTTTGAGACAGGGTCTCGCTATGCAATTCAGGCTAGCCTTGAACTCACTTATTTCCCAGGCTGGCCTTGAACTCGCAATGATCCTCCTGCCTCAGCCTCCCCAGTGCTGGGATTACAGGTGTGTGCCACCACATAGCCCTCCAGAAAGAGCTTCTCAGCTCTTTAAAACAATCTGTTTGGTTATTATTATTATTTTTTTATTACAAAGGTAATACACTTGTTCAGTGTAGAAAATAAAGACAAAAAAAGACAACATAATAATCACCCGTAGGGGAACCCATTCAGGTCCCCTTCTGTCTTTCTCTCAGACAGAAGCTTTCTTTCCCTAAATAAATATATTCTTAAAAAAAAAAAAGAATCATGCATAGTTCCACCACTTACATTATTGTTAACTTTTTGGTGTGTGCATATTCTCCCAGTCCTTTTTGTGCGTGCATGGATACCTATGTGATAAGACTGTAGCTTTCTTTTGCATCCTGTCATCCTCACACTGCCAAATCTCCCCACCCAGGGCCTTGCACATATGCCAAGTGTTTTACCAGTGAGCTACATTCCCTGCGCCTGCACCCTGCTTTTTTACTTAATAATATAGTCTCAATATTTCCTTACTTTATTCAGTATTCTTCTACAACATTAATGTTTACAGAGTATTCCATTGTACATAGGTAAAAATAATTTATTTGATCACACCCTCACCTTTCCCATCGTTGAATGTTATGTTGTTTCCAGTTTTTCACTATGGAAAACACTGCTGCCATAAGCATATTGTAGCTAGGTTTTTGAGCATTTTCTTCACAATTTATTCTGAATAAATTTTCATAAAATGAGACTTAGTGGATTAAAGGTCATGTGTTTTCTTAAACCTTTTGGTATGGGTTGTGGATAGCCCTCCAGAAAGAGTCTATAATTTCTAAATGGAAAATTTTTATGGTCCAATAATAAATCTGTTTCTTCTTTTTGGTACTAGGATTGAACCCATGGCCTTGTGCACATCCTGAGCTACGGCCTCAGCCCCACAGATCAATTTTTGTTAGACCTTCAGGGACACTAGGAAAGGCAGAATCTTTGTCTATAAATTCAAAACTTAATAGTATCTGTTAAAATCAATCTAAATATATCCTTATTTGTACTTTGACTCATTCACCTGCCAAAGAATAAAATGTGTTAGTGTTTCTTTTTTTTTTTTTTTTTTTTAGTTTTTCTCCAGTACCGGGAACCGAACTCACAACCTTGCGCATGCCAGGCAGATGCTTTTTGCCGCTGAGCTAAATTCCCAGCCCCTAGTGTTTCTTAATAGAATAGTATTTTGTGTCTTTTTTGTTTGGACCCTCAAGTTTCTCATTTATATTTGGATGTATTATGATTTGACACCTAGGTTTCATAATAATTTTATCTTGTAAATTGTTACCTTTATGAATATAAAGTGATCATTTTCTGTAATGTTTTTTCTCCTTAAAATTTTCTTATAGTGTGATCCCTGCTTTTTGTTTTATGTTGGTTTGTCAAATGTTTGTTCCTGTTTGTTTCCTTAAGCTTGTTACATGTCACTGTATTTTAGTTCTTTTTTGAGGTGGCTGTGGTTTGAGACAGGTTCTCACCTGTGTCATTCAGACTGGCCTCGAACTCATAGCAATCTTTCTGCCTCTGGCTCTGGAGTGCTGGGATGACAGACATCTATCACCACACCAAGCAAGACTTAGTTATTCCTTATAAATAACATAAAGTAGGACTTTTTGGTTTTTATCTAGCCTGAGAGTTTATTTTTATTATTATAACCTACATTTTTATCTTTTGTCATTTTTCTATTTACCAATGTTATGCTTCTATTCTGTTTCTTTTGACAGTTCTTATTGAATGAATAGGCAGCTGGGCATGGTGGCGCACGCCTGTAATCCCAGCACTCGGGAGGCTGAGGCAGGAGGATCGTTGCAAGTTTGAGACCAGCCTGGGCTACAAATTGAGCTCAAGGCCCACCTGAACTGCATAGCGAGACCCTGTCTCAAAAAGACAAAACAAAACAAAACAAAACAAATAGGCAATGTAGTCTCTATTTTTCAGAATATTTAATTTAAAAATCAAAATGATGTGAAGCTTATTGTGTAGACAACTCCACCTTCCAAGGAAATTGGTTTCAATTTCACACTTACAAGACTGCCTGGCTTCCTCAGGAAGCAAAATCCCACTAATGAGAGGTGAATCATTTCTGGTCCTTCTGTGCCATTTTAGGACCTAGATGTCTGGTACGAGGTAAAAAATAGCAATCCAGGAAAATAAAAATGCTTCCCCATATTTCCAGCAGACATCAGCTGGCACTGTGCAGGATTTTGAATTTAACTGATTCTTTCCTCATTATAGGCAGATATTTAATCATTAGATTAAGGTATTTAATCTACCTCATTATAGGTAGATAAGGAAACTGTGCTCTTAAAAATATCTATTAGAATGTGATATTTCTCTGTTTGGAGTAAAAATGAAATAATCATTGTATTTGGGAAGGAAAACATTTCCAGCTTGTAACCTGCCACAGATGTAAAGATCTCTGTGGAGGGAGAGAGACTGGAAATACTTGAAGTACAGGACCGTCTTTCTGGGAGTGACTGATGCCAGGCAGGAAGGACCAGAAATGCTACACGCCGAGCCCCAGTTTTCACTGGCGCCTCCCCCCGGGTGGCGGCAAGCTGCTGCGACCCACCTTGATGAACGAGTACAGAGACTTTCCGTACAGCCTCTTGAAGTTGTCCCGGATGTCCAGCATGTCAATCTCTGCTCGGGAGACCATCACTCTAATGAGGGTGTTGTCGTCCGTGCCCAAGCCCTGAGGAGGAAAACAAGGTCCCAGTATAAGACATGCTGCTGTTTCTCGGAGTGCTCTTGCCCTGTTTAGCAGGGCAAGATGCAGAACGACTCTCCTGATGGTGTCTTCTCCTCCCAGCCTTGGAGGCTTGAGGAATATCCTGCTCTTTACCACAGGAGTCCAGGCTCTGCACGGCTTGCGTTTCTAACCCCTTACGTTCAGACCAGAGGACACTGCTGTGTCTTCTAGAGACGTGCCTGGTACTGTCCAGCTTGCCTGCCCCACCCACTTCCATGTAAAGCCTCCCTGAAGCTCTGGCTCAAATACACCAGCTTTCTGTTTTTGTTTTGTTTGGGGGGCTGGGAATTGAACAAAGGGCATCACACCATGTATTCTACCACTGGGCTACACCTGCAGCTTCCAACTGTTTTTATATATTCTTTCTGGGCCCCCCTCCCTCCAAACCAGTAAACAAATATTGAAAAAAAAAAAAAAAACCCTTTCCTCTGCATCTCTATAATACTTGGGCTGGGGATATAGCTCAGTGGCACAAGTGCCTGTCTGGCGAGGGCAAAGTCATGAGTTCGATTCCCCGTATTTAAAAAAAAAGAAAAGAAAATCAATTCTCCTATAATACTTGGATCCTCAACTACGGTCTTACATTCTCTCTTATTGTTCGTGCTTAAGCATGCTTGTTTTCCCTAGCAGGCTAGATGTTCTTTGAGAACAAGGTCTATATTTTGATCCTTCCCACACGATTCCCCTGCATGGGTGCTTGCAGAATAAAATCCAGGTAGGACGATGGGCTCTGGAGTTAGATGGCCAGTGCTTGCACTTGAGCCACTATTTCTGCACTGAGGACCTTGGGTAAACTCTATATCCTCTCATTCTCTGCATCTGTAAAATGGGGATTCATAATAGTATTTGCCCCCACAAATAATAGTATCTGCTTATACAACTGTTTTAAGGATACAATTAACCCATACATATAAAACATTGAGAACCATGATCCACACATCATAAATACTTAATAAATATCACTTAGTGAGGCAAGAGGATCACAAGTTCTAGCCCAGCATGGGCAATTTGGCAAGTTAGTGAGATCCTGTCCCAAAATTTAAAAATTTGAAAACAGGGCTGGAATATAGCTCACACAGTACAAAGGCCCTGAGTTCAATCCCCAGTATGGCAAGAAATAAAAATTAACTTAGTAGTATTATTAGCAGCATTCAGTGAAATAAATGGTGAAGCAAATTAGATATTTCAGCTGAAATCTGGGAGGGGGATATACGCAAACTAAGAAGGTAGATACAGATAAACCAAAGACATTCAGATGCTAAAAAGTGAAGCCATTTACCTTCATAGATTTATAAAGCCTTTCAGCAAAATATGCAGATTTGTTCCTCATGCACTTAACTGTCAAGAAAAAAAAAAAGATTACAGGAAGGACCTATGAGAAAAGTGACAGTTATTCTATAAAATATCAAGGAAAAAACAAAGTATCAAAGTATCCTGCTTGCTTTGCCAGAGAAATTTTAGCCATACTATATTTCATGAGCATAAGCTATACTGTGGGCATTTTCTCAGATGGAAAGTATTCTTAATTTATCATGCTCCTACAGAAATAATTTATAAAGCTCATCAAAGCAAATGGAGACATATAATTTCACAAGGATTACTATGTCTGCCATGAGAGCCAGTTATTAGTTCTAACCATTGAGACTTGCAAGATGCAGCTAGTAATATAGTATCAGCTTTCTCATGAGATTTAAAAGCATAGAAGATATAAAACATAAGGTGCAACAGCAATTGAGTTGTATACAATATTTCTTGTTTAAAATTCTAGAACATTAGCCAGGCATTGAAGCATGTGCCTGCAGTTCCCCCTACTTGGGAGGCTGGGGGAAGAGGATCACTTGAGGCCAGAAGTTTGACATCAGCCTGGGGAACATAGTGAGAGTTCATCTGAGAAACCACCACTGTTGAAAAACCTGGAATGTATCATAAGTGATTTAAACCACTCTGCTCTGTGAAAGTCAGAATTCTAGACTCCTTGACAATCTGTTGGAGGAAAACCAATAGATACTTGTTTCTCTGTTCCCCATTTCCTACAGCTTACCTATAGCCAGCAGGGCATCTTCAAAGCTACCAGATGTCTCAGATTTGATACTCTGTTCAATATCCTTCTTTGATATCCTTTTGTATTCATCAAACACTACAACAAATAAAAATATGGCATTATCAAGAATATAAAAGAGCCGGGTGTTGTGGCACACGCCTATAATCCCAACACTCGGGAGGCTGAGGCAGGAGGATCACTGTGAGTTTGAGAGCAGCCTGAGCTATAAAGTGAGCCCAAGCCCAGCCTGAACTGTATAGCGAGACCCTATCTCAACAAGAAAAAATAAATAAATAAATTAAAAATAAAAGAATAGATGAAACTAAAATTTATGGATAGAGTGAGCACCTTTTTACTACTTTACGCTGCCCTTTGGCATATGTCAAGGGTGCAGTAACTAGCAATGTGGCTGAGATATGGAAGAATACGATGGCCCAGCTGAATGGGCCTGCAGCAAGGAGGAAAGAGAACTGTGATTCTTGAAGGACACTAGTTCAGCCCCTGTCCTTATCTGGGACGCTGCTTCCTCCCAGATAAAATGGAGACATCCTCTGGAGACACCTGCTTTCTTCTCCATGTTCCCTGAGTAAGCACAATGTGTCTTTTTGCAGTTTTGGCCCCAGCAGTCACCTGTACATTCAGCTTCCTTTTGGCTCATCATGACTAAAGCAATTCAAAACTGAGTCACACTTGGTAACAGCCGCTTTGCCTCTTGCAATAGACTTTAACGTAATTAAATTTCTGTTGCTTTTTTGCCAAGTACTTTTAATGTGACGGAATGTTCTCTTCCTTGTTCTCATCTTTTGGAGTCTTCTTAGAGGAGATAGCTGTTTTGTTTATCTCCTGCCATTTCCTCCTCTGGCATGCTGCCTAGTGATTCTTGTAAGCTGTGCATGTAGGAACATGCACATCCAACAGCACACATCATAACCTCTACCGAACAAGGGAGCGGTTCACCCAGTCAGGGTTGCCTTCCTGAGGATTTTATTTTATTTTATCTTTTTGAGACAGGATCTCGCTGTGCCGTTCAGGCTGGCCTTGAGCTCACTTTGTAGCCCAGGCGGGTCTTGAACTCACAACGATCCTCCTGCCTTAGCCTCCCGAGTGCTGGGATTACAGGTATGCGCCCTCAAACCTGACCTTCCCGAGAATTTTAAACTGAGCAGATCATGGGGATGGCCCAAACCGTGGGGTCACCTTTACCTTCAAAGAATATAAGAATCACCTGGGAGCCAAGTATGGTGGTGCACACCTGTAATCCCAGCACCTGGGAGGCTGAGGCTATAGGATCGCTATGAGTTCAAGACCAGTCTGGGCTACACAGTGAGTTCAAGGCCAGACTGAATTGCATAGCGAGACCTTGTCTCAAAAAAAAAAAAAAAAAAATCACCTGGGAAACCCGTCAAGCTTCTGGATGTCATTCCCCAGACAGTCTGGAGAAGGAGTACAAAATTCATTTTCGTGGTACAGACAGAGCCCAGGACCTCACCCAGGTAGGCACGTGCTCTATCACCATGCTACATACCTAACCCCCAAATCAGCATTTTAAATGGAGACCAGACGTCAGTCAGCAAACCCTGCCTTAGAAATAAGAGCCATGACTCACTTCTAGGGAGATGCCCCCAACTGCTTTGATTTCTGTTCTTGAAGTTACTCAATTTTCCCTTCAATTTTATGAGCCACCAGTGTTTTTCATTTTCTTTCCTTTCCAGTTCCACATTACTTCCTCTTTGCTTATTTGGGTTGGAGTCAGTGTATATTGCTTGGAATCAAATCAATACCTTTTCTAAGCCTGTTTTCTCCACTTCAATTGGGGGAAATAGTTACTACTCCATGGGGATACTGCCAGAAACAATGTTGATGCTATGCCTAACACCACATCTAGAAGCTGGGAAACTAGTAACAAAACAGTAACCAAGAATCTTCACTCTTACTAATTTTTTTTTTTTTTTTTGGTACTGGGAATCGAACTCAGGACCTTGCGCTTAGCCAGGCAGGCACTTATGCCATTGAGCTATATCCCCGGCATCACTGTTATGGTTCGTTGTAAGAATATCATGAAGTTTTCTTTATCCAAATAGTGCTTAAAACATTTTCTCTCAGTGGCTTACAGGCAGATATTTTATAACTGCCTAACTATTGACTTGTGTCTGAGAAGCGAAAATTCTTAGAAACATACTAAATCAATTTCTGAGACTGTAGTTCTGAGACTGTACCACTAGGGGGAGATTTGTGTTCTCTGGAATCAGCCCAGGGAAGGCAGAGTTGGACCTGGTGTGTCTGAGGGTAACCCCTGATACTTATTAATAGGAGTAATCGATTGTTCTTATCCCTGTGGAATAGCTGAAATAATTGCAACTTTAAAACGAGTTGTATGTTTCAATTACTTTATGTTTGCAGTCTGGCAAACTCATTCTTCTCATATTTCCCATAAGCTTTGTAAATCTGTGTGAGTACGACAAGGATATGGTGGATTTATAAAGTTGTGATGTACACAGAGATCTAAAGAGCTGTGTGAAAATTGAAATATCCTATTAAATCTCAACTGGTGTGTACAAGAAGACTATAAGCCTGAAACAAATATTCTACAGTTGTGGTGTCTGTTGCTCCAAAGAAGTTAAAAGCACATTATAAAATTTAGAATGATCAGAAACAGACTAGAAACACCACACATGGGAAATAAAATCTGAAATTACCCATTATGCATCAAATGCAACTTAACCCCTAAAGAAATCACTTCTGTTAGTGTCACAGTGTGGATGCCAAACAGGAATAAACACTGTTTTGTTTTGGTTTAGTTTGGTTTTTTTCCAGTACTGGGAATCAAACTCATGACCTTGCACTTGCCAGGCAGGCGCTGTGCTGCTGAGCTAAATTCCCAGCCCCAGGAATAAATATTAACTAACATTTCTATGTGATTGTTTCCTGATGTATGAAAGACTTTTTAAAAATTATAACTAAGTGAAAATGGAAGTATTAGTATTGCTTTAGAAAAAGGACCAACTATGAGGGTAGGTTTCCTGTCAAACTTTATGAATACATTGTAGTTATTCATAATTAATTTTTCAGAAATTATCGCTTATTCACATTATTGGACTCATACATTCCAAGGTAAGAATCGAAGGAAGTTCAGTACAGTCAGTTTTTTGCACCAAGAAAAGAAGGAAATTAATTAAGGGCTAAATACTTTTCACTATCTTGGAAACAGTTTCTTTGGGAAGTAAGGTGAGCGCCTACCATGCAACAGATGATTTCGGTTCCGGGAACAGAGGATGGTTAGGAATTTCACTTCATCTGTTCCCCATTTCTTCTCTCCAGCATCATACAGGTCCTGAAGCCAAGCAAAGCACAAGTTTAAAACACCAGAGAGAATGTGCCAGAATCTAAGCAAATATTTCCAGAACTCCAGAGAGCTGACTGGCTTAGTGATATTTTGCTGGCTGGAAAGGAAAGCACACACATGTACGTGTAGCAGAGGGCTCCTGAATCACCCTGGGTTGCTTATGATTTTTCAGCTTCACAGTGGTGAGAAAGTGATACACGGCTAGCAGGAACCGTACCTCACATTCTGCATTTCAATCTTTTCCCAGGCTGTCTACAGGCAGTGTGACACTTTATAGCAATGCGGGAAGCACTGGGAAGACACTACTTCTGGTCAGTGCCCAAATCAGGAGGATGAAAAATGTACACACTGCCGTGCACTGTGTTGCTAGCCAGGATGTTTAGTAGGTTTGGTGTAATAAATACATTGTCAACTTATAAGACTTTCAACTTGCAAGGCATTATTGGGACATAATCTTACTGTAAGTCAAGGGGCCTCTGTCATCTATCGTCTGTCTGTCTGTCTGTCTATCTATCTATCACCTACCTATCATCTCTCCATCTGACTGGTTCTGTTTACTGAAAACATTGCTTTAATTAATAAAGTACAAAAAAAAGGGTGGGGCCGGGGATATAGCTCAGCGGCACAAGCGCCTGCCTGGCAAGCGCCAGGTCCTGAGTTCGATTCCCAGTACCCAAAAAAAAAAAAAAAAAATTAATAAAGTACGCCTGGGAACAGCAGCACACCTGGAGTCCCACCTACTTAGGAGGTTCATCTGAGCCACAAGTTTGAGACCAGCCTAAAAACATAGCAAGATCTTGTCTCAAAAAAAAAAAATGCCAGAAGAGATCCCGCGATTTCTGAGGCTGGAGAATAAATAGTCACACGGCTTCCACTGGTTTGATAAGAATGGGTGCTTTTGGGGTGCTCCCCTTAAAATTCTACTGCCTAAGCCACATACATACCCTCTTCCTTCTAATGGAAGCCACAGCTTACTTTCTCCATAAACAACAGTGGTTCATAAGCCACACATTGAGTGGAACCAGCCCTTCACTATGGTTGTATATTGGTTCAGAATGCAACTATAAATGTCAGTTCTCCCATTTACTGTCTGTCTGAACTTGACAGGGAACTTTCCTCTGAGCCTCAATTTCCTTGTCTGTAAAATGGGTATAGTAGTACTTAACTCATTATAAGAATTCAATGAGGTGCTGAATATAAAACCTTAGGACAGTATTTGGCACCCACTTTTATGAGCTATTATTTCATTATTATTGTACTTTATTTTATGGCTACTGGAGATCAAATCCAGGGGTATCCTACCACTGAGTTATATATCCCAGAACTTTTTGTTTTATTTTAACAGAGTCTTGCCAAGTTGCCAGGCTGGTCTCAAACTTGTGATCTGCCTGCCTCAGCCTCCCAAGTACCTGGGATTACAGGCATGCACCAGCATGCATGGCTTATGAGCTATTATTATTAGCGTTATATGGCTACCTGGATTGGTGCAGAAAAATGTTTGTGCGTGGGCACTAAGGAAGCAATCATCTGCTGGGGTTTGATAGTAATTTTACCCCAACAGGTCTTACTGAATATTCTCTGTGGGGGAGAAAAAAATGTATAGCAAACAGAGCAAAGGCAGCTCCCCACTTCAGAAGCCAATTAGTGGTTCCCTGAGCTCACCACAGAATTATCCCAATACCAAGAAGTTTGAGGCCCAGAAGTGTAGACAGAGTGATGTTTAGCGCTGCCCTTGCAAGACAGCTGCTATTGAAGGCTCTCTGTGGAAATCTTCCCTATGTGACACCCAGCCTGGCTGATACGCTCTGAGGTAGGAAGGGAAGGCTGCCCCCTGGCAAAGGCTGGCTGCCTAGCGTGGAGAAGGAGCTGCAGTTCTACCAACCTGGGCGTCCTGTTTCACGAGACCGTCGTCCAGGTAATTCCCTTGGTCCCTGCCTCCCTGGGGACAAGAAAAACACAGCAGAGAGTAAGACAGCCCATGAAGACTTGGGGGCAGCGTTAAGACAGACGGCCTGGCCACCCAGGGATGCGGTAATGACACAAAATGCCACAAGGTGCGACCTTGGGCCTCTGGGAAGCAGGACAATAGTCCTCTGGGTTGCTCACATTGTTACCACGGCTCTGAGCTGAGCCTGGAGGACACTGCCAGCGGAGCACGAGCCCCATCTGCCACTGGCCTGTGTCTCCGGCATAGGAAGGGGAGGGTCACTGCTCCCGACACTGCCCCGTCCCCAGGACTGCATCTTCCCAGCAGACTTGCGCTTTCCAACCTACATAGCTCAGCTTGTGCCAGAAAGGGGCGGAGTGCGGAGAGTCAGCAGAATCTGAGCCCTGCAGTGGGACCGAAGAACCCAGGAAACCCACCCCCTGCCTGGCAACTCTGGTTCAGGGCAGGCAGAGGCGAGGCCCCAGAGAAATACTAAAGAGTGACAGGACAGGATACTTTCCTCTGTTTTTTTTTTTTTTTTTTTTTTGTCTTTTTGAGACAGGGTCTCACTATGCAGTTCAGGCTGGCCTTGAGCTCACTTTGTAGCCCAGGCTGGTCTCGAACTCACAACGATCCTCCTGCCTCAGCCTCCCGAGTGCTGGGATTACAGGCGTGCGCCACCATGCCCGGCTGGTTTGTTATTTTGATTGTGTATAACCTCAGTATTCTGTGGTTTGGGCATGGCTCCTCAGGGTAGCCATACAGGAGGGAGGGCAAAATGGGAAGGAAATAAAGAGAAACACGCAAGCATCATTCAAGTGAACGTCAGAGACAGGGCGAGGTGGGAGTTGGAGACGATCTCCAGGATTCTGTTCTGGACATGGGCAGAACAGCAATCATAATAACAGATGCAGGCGGGGCGGGCGGAAGAGCTGGCTTGGAGAGCAAAGGAGTTCAAGCTCAGTTCAGGAGCACGTTAAGGTGACGGCAGATTAGCCATAAAGAATCATCTAAAAAGCACTGAGAAACAGGCCTCACGCCCCGGAGGGAGTCAAGAATAAAGCTGGGGTCACATGGAGCGTCTTCTATTTTCTAGTAGTCCTCCTTCCACCCTCCCCCAGTCCTGCTTAAATTCTCATCCGGAACCCTGGTGTAGCTCCCTCTGTGGCTTCCCCGTCCCCAGCTCCTCGCCACTGTCCTTCACACATACCACTACCATACTCCTCTTATGGGAACACAGTTCCAGCGCTCACCACCATCATCGCCTTCAGCACCTGCTGCTCCCGAACCTTTGGTGGCTCCCTATTGCTCTCCAATTAAAGCGTAAACTCCTTGCAACTAGAACCCCGGCCCACGCTTCCAGTTGGCTTCAGAATCACCATTCTGCCTGTTCAGCCAAGTGTTCCCTGAACACACCCCGAGTTTCCTACCTCCTTGCCTTGTTCTCATTCCCGCTGCTCTTCCTGCCTGGAATGCGCCCGCCCACACCTCTCCTCCTGGAATCCTACAGTTCTCCCGGTACTCTCGGAACTGGCATCTCTGCCATCTTTTTCTTTGTTTCTGCAACCGAAGTCTGCTCAACTCTTCCTCTTGCTACGTGCTCTCCTTGGGCACTTGATCTCTTCATGTCTTATAGCAGTTTGTGTACCTGGTATGTTCCCTTATGACAGTATAAAGCGTCAAGGCACAGGCACCCCTTGTGAGCATCCGCATAACTCCCAGGGCGTGCTGGGATAGGGCACCAGGCATGTACTAGGGACTCGTGAGTACTGAACAAACTGGCATAGGGGACTCATCAGGGGCTCTGAGGAGGAAATAAGGTAAAAGAACAGAGAAGCCCAAGATCACCACTCAGGGAATATCCATATTCGGGGGGCTGAAGGGATGGAGAGGCTGATACAGGGGAGGGGCAGTGAGCATCTCAGTAAAACCCATCCCTCCATCTCGAACGGTGGCAGAGGCGGCGACTCACAGCTGACAGGGACACCAGCACTCTCTGGAACATGAATGAAGTGTCTGAGCAAATGTCGTCTTCAAGGCTCCGTCCGTATTCTAGGGAGAAAGCGGAAGTAGTCACTTCAGAAGACAGAGTCCTGCCCGCCTCCGCGGCACCTCCGGCGCGTTCTGTCCCTCCATGACCCGCGCGTTTGCTGCAGCAGGTCACCACGAGACTTTCCCCTGCACACGGTTATCTTGTCACGACAGCGGGTACAGGAGACGCCCGTGTCTGAAGACGTGAGCCGGAGAGGACAGGCCGGCCTTCCCTCTGGTTCCCACTGGCCAGGCTAGCTCCGAAGAGGCTGAAGGGCCACTGAGGGGTCAGGGAGGGACACAGCGACGGCAGCGCTTCTCGGCGAGAGGTGGGGGCGGGTCTCGTGAGGGGCTCCGGCCTCAGACCTGGGAAGAAACCTGCACGGCCCAGGAGTGGGCATGCGGTGCTAAATCCAAACCGCAAAGGGCTAGAATCTCCCATCCCGAGCACAGACCAACGTCTCAGATTATATTGTTTTCTTTCTACAAAAGTAATACATGTTGACTAGAGAACACTGAGGGGAAAAATAAATAAAGTGAGGGGAGAAAATTCTGCTGTGGTCTAATCACGCAGAAATGCTGACTACTGAAATCACAGATAACGTCTGTGAATCTCTTTCTTCATTTTTCACTATTGTTCTTTCTTTTTTAAAAAAAGGGATCCCAGTCTATCACTTTTGACTTGTTCTTTTCACTTACCTGTACACCACACCATATAATATAACAATAATTTTTTGCAATGTAAGTTTTACTGATTGCTAATTCATTGTGTGACTATACCATGTATGGTTTAGCCAGCCTAATACCGTTGCACATGTTTAGCTAATATAAACAATGCCAAATAAACACCACAGATCTAAACATTTGTACATTTTTTGTTCTACTCTTAGAGTAAAAAGGCACTTTTTTTTAAAAAAAAAAAAGCTTCCTCAAACTGGGTGCGGCGGCGCACCCTTGTAATCCCAGCACTCGGGAGGCTGAGGCAGGGGGATCATTGTGAATCCAAGGCCACCCTGGGCTACAGAGTGAGCTCAAGGCCAGCCTGAACTGTATAGTGAGACCCTGTCTCAAAAACACAAAAACAAACAAACAAAAGAATCTTCATACAGATCACCCTCTGGAGGCTTTTACAGGGATTAATGGCTATCATTCTGAGAAGGCTGGAGGACACACAGGCCATCCTGGAGATCAAAAATTGGGCCAGACAGCCCCTCCGGGGCCTCCCCTGAAATGCTAAGAATCAGTGGTTGATGCCAGCATGTTGAACAAGCCCCTTTGGTTCTTCGGTTGTCATAAGGAACAACTTTCCTGCTTGAAGACTGAGAAAGCAGTGCACTGGGCAGCCTAAGGAGAGTGGCGTCTTCCCACAAGAAGTCTACAGAAGCTGACAGACAGACATCTGCCTAGACAGGGATCTGCCCCAGCAAGACTTGGTGCTTATGGACCCCTTGCGGTTCATGTGCCTAGGAAGAGAGGCTAATCAGTGGATAACCACCCACTGTTAATCTTGCTCTCAGATCACAGCAAAACCTCAGCCAGGCCACTGCGCACGTTACGTACGATGCTGGTAGGTCTGCTTGATGCGCTGGAGCTCCTCCGGGGACCGGGAGGCCAGGATCTCGATCAGGCAGCCTTCATCCGTGCCAGCTCCCTGCACAGGAAGCCAGAGGAGAGGGTGTGAGAGCCAGTGTACTGAGCTGGTGCACATTTGCACGTTTTCAGGTATCAGTTAAAAAAATCTTTACAAGTTGAGTCCCAGACACAGAAGGAAAATAGCCACAAACCTGCAGAGGATGAAGACAGCCCACAGGGTCCCGGCAATGGGATTTGTTAACTTTTAATTATCCTCCCCCAAATCCAACGCTCACCATATACATTATTAGTCATAGCAAACCCTTAGCGCCTGTTTAACCTGTGTTGGTTACACGGCCAGGTTCCATACAGTTTCTGTGCCTCGGGGCCTTAATCTTTCCGTACCCTCTGTTTTCTTCATACAAAGGGCAGAATCTTCTGGCAAAGACCTTTTGCCTCTTGGCTTTCTCAGAGCCTAGCCCGGAGCCTTCTGCAAGGCCAAGTCATTATTAACATGGCTGAGGAGGGTAAGCGCATTTTCGTGTCATGCTCGAGTCACTGAAAATCAGCTGACCCCAGTCAGTGCCTAAAGGATTGCTTGGGCATGCACACGGGCCTTACATGTAAGGAACTCTTCTGCCAGTTCTGAACTGGCAGCGGATCTGGAGGCCTCACGGGGTCAGTCATAAAGTTCCATGGCTCAAAAGCAACTAACACAACAAGAAAGTTTCCAGTACCACACCGAAGGCACAACTATGATCACTCCTGCTGGGTGTAGCTCACCAGCAGAGCCCATGCTCAGCCACATGGTCAAGGCCCTGGCTCCACACACAGAACTATCGTCACTGCTTGCTGAGCCACAGGAAGGAGCAAGTGATTCCATAACTTTTTGGAAAACAATTATTATTATTATTAGTATTAGTCTTTTTGAGACAGAGTCTCACTATGCAGTTCAGGCTGGCCTTGAGCTCACTTTGTAGCCCAGGCTAGTCTCAAACTTGCAACAATCGTCCTGCCTCAGCCTCTCAAGTTCCGGGATTACCAGTGTGTGCCACCAGGCCTGGCCTGGAAAACAATTTTTAAATTACAGGTGTTAGAAAGTCTCCAAGTTGTCATCATGAGATCATGAGTGGAAAATTTTTTTCCTGAACATTATAAGGAATAACTTTGTTTCCCACCCTCGGAAGGACTTCGAGGCAGAGCCTCAGCGCTTGTGCCGAATGCTGTGTGGGCAGAGAGGAGGCACACGCACCTTCATGGCCCTTCGCAGCTCTTGCACATCGTATAGCACGGTGGGTGTCATCATCCCTATGATCACCTGCTCAAAGTTGCCACTCAGTTCAGACTTCAAGTCATCTATCAGCTCCTGCAACAAAAGAAAGCAACCTGCTTAAACATCCACAAAAACTTAAACGAGCCACTCTCCAAGTACGGTCCAGGGTCTGCAGGACCTTCCAGGCCATGGGCAATCGAGGTCTGGCTATCTTCACAATAACACTAAGCCATTATTTGCTTTTTTAAACTGTCATCTTCTCAAGAGTATACAGTGGAATTTTCTAAAGTTACTCAATGTATTTGTGCATATTTATAACTAGGCCAAAAAGCTATTAGTTAAAATACTCCCCACTTTTCTAACTACATCTTTGTATAAGACCAGATTTTCTTCATGTATCTCAAAACAAAATCATGCAGATGCAGATATGAGAATCCAGCTATCTTCTATTAAGCTATACTTTACAGATATTTACAAAATGTGAAACAAAGCCAGCCTTCTTGTTAAATTTTATTTTGGAACATATATCGAATATATTTATTTTTAAGAAGTTAATTACAGCTGGGCGTGGTGGCCCACGCTTGTAGTCCCAG